TCATCTAAAGCTCCTAAACAGTTCTAACATAGAACAAGAAAAAAACATTTTAGACAAAATACTAAGTCTAATTTTAATAAACTATTGAGTGCATCTTAAACTGAGTCATAAGACTGTACCTTGAACCATTTGTACCGGTCATCAGTTAAGTTTTCGGGAATAGGCTCTGGTTTTTTAAACAACAAGGTATGCAACCTTAACACGACGTTCAACACTAAGTGAAAATTATGGCTTTCCGTCTCAGTGGATCTGCGCATTTGATGTTTCATGACTCTGGTCTTCTAGTTATGGGCAAAGATGTGAAGAAAAGTCCCTACTAATTCTTCTACAGATGAACGACGGGTTGATTTTAAGTAGTCATGTTTAGTAAGTAAATTACATAATTTGTCAAATAGAGCCATATTCATCCTACAGCTCTCAAAACATAACTCATTACTTTGGGAAAGCATGGTGTATAAATTCAACGACCTAACCTTAAACCTAGACTCAGACTCACTGGCATATGATATACTAGCCCTATGTCTACCCCGTATATTAAGTACATTAGCCAACCCAAGAAGGACGAGCATGGTGTACCTGGTTTCTAACATGTCCAAATGGAAGACTACAAAGGCAACCAAGTGCATTTTCTGCCTGACTGTTAAACGAGCCATGGCTGTTTCACATAATTCATGTATCAAAGCATAATAAAGTCAATCAAGTATGTACAAGTCTTTAAACCAATAACAAGCAATCTTATATAAAAGAAATCAAACTGAATTTCGATGAAAACAACATAAACATCAGAATTTAATAATCTCACTAACAAACAAAAATTCACCTCAAACACTCACAAAATTCTCAACATCCCACACATCAAAATTTGTCATCCATCACACAAACCAACACAAACATCATAAAAAATTCACATCAATTCCTCAAAACTGTCTTCTTTAGCAATTCAATTGGTATAATCTTATTGTGCTTTCTTAAGCTTATTGTAGTACAAGTTTTGTTTTAGGACTAAATCAATTGTTTGTTGTTAATTATTGTATTGTGGACAATAAATATTTGAATCTGATTCTCATGCTCAATAGTATGTAGATTTTCAAGTTTATCTTAATCGTTGTAATACAATTAGATTTGGTTTTATTTAGTTTCTTAACTGTGCATGCTTTTCCTATTTTGGATTAATTCTTAGGTTGTCCAATAAGGATTGTAATATATTTTTATTATCTTTCTAACCAACAAAATCTAATTCTTATGCTAAAAAGTATTTCATATCTCACAGACCACAACACAGCAACAAATCAAGACATTAAACAAGCAACCTAATGCCATTTCGAACTCTTTTCATTTCATTTCAACATCAAATAAGTTATTGCAAGACAATTTTACCCTCTCTAAAGCAAAACAAAGCAACACAACAAATCAAGACATAACAAAAGCAACCTAATGCAAATTTGAACTCTTTTCATTTCATTTCAGCATCAAATTAGTGATTTATTGCTATCTTTATATATGCAGGGTCCTTTGCCTAGTTTCAGTTGTGATAGCAGATTTTTTATTTTAGCCTTGGAAAAGTCTAACCTTTTTATCATCAATAGAATTTGTAATTATGTGTTCTTGAATTTTGTCCATATTGTGGATAAGCCAGGAACGTGTGGGTGTTGTTACCAGGAGATGAGGTTGAGGGAGAACACTTTTTTATGTCTGGTGGTTTGAGATTTTTGTTGTGGGGTGATTTTGCTTATGTTCGACATGATTACTAAAATTGGTGTTACTGTGGGCATTCGGTTGCTGGAGATCTGCAGTTTTTGCTTTTTAGTGATGTGGTTCATCGCTTCTTCTTACCTGAAGATTTGCTTAATAGCTTAAAAAGGGTGTGGGTTGTTTCGTTGTACTCTAGTAGTAGTGTTTCTCCTTGGTTTTGTACTGCAGCTTAGCTAGTGTGGGTTTTTATGCCTATCCTCTTTTGAGCTTTCTCCTAGTTTTTGTCCAAGTCTCTGGCTAGGTTGTATATATTTGGACTGTTTTTTGTTTTCATTGTATAGTTTGTTATCCCTTGGGCATGTCCAAGGTTTTTAGCGGTAGTGAAGCTTTGGTCTCCTAGGTTGTAAGTTTTTTCATTCTTTTATACAATTACCTCATTTACCCAAAAAAAAAAAAAAAAAAAAAAAAAAAAAAAAAAAAAAAAAAAACAGTTATTGTAGGGTAGTTTTACCCTCTCTAAAGTGAAATAAAGCAACCCTAACTACACAACAACAAATCAAGACATTACACAAGCAACCTAATGCAATTTCAAACTCTTTTCATTTCATTTTAGCATCAAATCAGTTATTCTCGCCTCCAAAAATCTAATACTCTTTGATTTGTTTCTATACAAATTGTGAGTAAGAAAAGACGATAAAAGAGACAAAAAGTTTTTATTATTTGTACTCCATTATTTCTCTTAGCATTCAACTAGAGCTTAACTTGATTTGAAGGTTGATTATTTATGTGATTGGTTCATTCTGTTTATCAAATTTTTTGATTTAGGTTTGTTTACAGGTTTTGGAGGTGAAAAAGACTATCGTACATTTGCATTCTCTTACCCAAGATCTTGTTTTTCTAATTTTACAATTCTTTGATGAGGAAGGTTATAAAGAAAGTGCTCACATGTATGTTAATCTTTCATCTCTAACCAATCCACTCATGTACACATTTTTTACACCTTCAAATTCTTATGCTTATTCTGTAACTTAATCATGACCATCTAGTGCACAGGCTCGCGCGTGAAAGTGGATATTACTTTGACTTAAAGTTTTTTGAGGACCTGGTACTTGATGGGAAGTAGGAAGAGGTTGAGAGGTATCTTTCTAGTTTCACAAAGGTTGATGACAATAGGTACTCAACCAAAATCTATTTTCAGATCAGGATGTAAACACCCAAAATCATTGACTTAATTAATAATAATAATAACTTATTCAAGCTTGGAAACATGGCCATAATCACATGCCGAATACCCATAAATTTATACCAACTAAAAACATCATCTCACCATACTAAACTCAGCCCAACCATGCAGCCAAAAATCTACCTAGATGTCACCTAAAACAATCCAAACAAAAGCAATATCACCCAAAACACAAGCAACAGAGACATGCCAAAGCTCTAACCACAATGTTATTAAAATAATTACCGAATGCACACAAAATTCCAACAATAAATCAATTTAAGCATTTCAATTACCTTGACAAGTCAATTGAGTCCATATATACAATTAACATTCAGCCAACATTACATGCACAGATCGACCAAAAATGCAACCATAAACACATGAAATTCTAGCCACCATTGCAACCATAACACTAACCCAAAATGCAGTTCATACACACAATTTCAGCTCTAACACATAAAAAAGAACACACCCAGCCGAACATAAAATAGAAAAAATAAATCTCCCACTCAACATGCAACATGCAACATATATAATTATAAGCAGAATAGAAGTAGAATTTCCTTGAGGCATTGGATAGGTAATTTTCCCTTCTCTTTTTTTTTTTTTTTTTTCGTATAGCATAAAGAGGTGAGGAACTTACCGAAAATCGCGATTGGAGTGCTATTGGGAGCAAATAGATGGCGACAAAGACTCAAGGTTGCTGTGGCGGAGATGGTGGACTAATAGCAAAGGCAAAATGGAGAAGTTAGTGTTTGAAATTGCAATCAAAACAAATCATGAAACATACAATGGAAAGAGGGCAAAGGGCTTATCGGAAATGGCAATCGGACTGACGAACTAGCAAAGGAGATCGACAAGAAGAAGACTCCAGCGACGACGAAGGAGGTTTAGGGCAAAAGGAGAACGAAATGTTTAGGGTTTTGAATTTTTTCCTCTTATATTGTAGTTTTAATGAAATCCAATGGCATATTGGTCACAATATGCAAATATGTGAGAATAATATGAGTACACCAACATTTGTGGCATTTCTGAAACAATAATACTATATTTACAAAGAAATCTTACAAAAATTTCCATACAAAGTGAGGTGGCAAAAAATGAATGGAAGAGTGAAACTCATTAAATTCACTCTTCCATTCATTTTTTGTCACATCACTTTGTATGGAGATATTTGTAAAATTTCTTTATAAGTGTAGTATTACTCTTTCTGAAAATAATGATAATAACCAGGGCAATTTCGTTCAGAAAATGAAAAAACTAAGGACAAATATGTTTGCTTGTGCAAATTGGCTATTTTGTAATTATTAACAAACCAAATGATATTTTCGTCCACATTGTCCACTGTTTAGGGGCAAGATTAGACAAAAATTATGATTACCGAAGGAATGTTTTAATAACAGCCCCCCAGGTAATATTATTCCCGACAATTTACCCCCTATTTGGCACTATTTGACATTTTTTTTCTAGTAATGTTTTTGTACAAAACAACTAAACATGATTATCTACTCAATTAAACTTATATTACACTCGTTAAAACATTTCAACGCGATCCAAACGGTCCCTAAAACATAAAATTGTAACAAAAATAAGATAATCAGGTAATCTTACAATATTTAAGAAAATGAAGATTATCATATTACCTTCATTATCACCAATAATAACTACTATTAGTATTAGAAGATTACCAGAATCTTATATTATTTGACAACCAAACATAGTAATAAAGTAATATAAGATGATATAACCCTAATAATTCTATATAACCCCCAACCAAATGCCTCACATATATATATATAAGAAAATTAGATAACACTTTTCAATTAAAGATCTATTATACCCATCTTGTTTTATTCACATGTTATTAGAAATGAATAAAATGTTAAAAAAAAAAAGTATATTATGCACCTTTAAAAAAAAAAATTATATAGAATGGATTAAGAATAGTTTATTTAGGGTTTTATTTATCTTAATTTAAATTCTTTTATGCCCTTCATTCGTTTACTTTAACAGAAATTTCGTAACAACCGTCTATCGACAGGGAGATAATTGTTATTTTCAACTTCAGGGGATTTCTTAAACTCAAACCTCGGTGGAATTCCTAAATACGCAGCATATTTTCGGCTTTTAAGAAATTGCAAAAACAACTCTATCAGTGTACATAATAAAACTATCCTTCACCTACAAATTTGAACTTCACTTGCACAGCCGCCTCACCACACTTCCGAAACTCACACAAAAACAGCCCGCTCGGCGCTCGTCACTCGTCACCAAGCCAACGCCGAACAAGGCGAAGGCGCGCTGCCGCCACCATAGACGCGAAGCCGACGAGATTTCTGGCGTTTATTCCGTTCTGCAACAGCCTATTCAAGTCCCGACAGGTTTTTCTTTTAGGCCTTTGAATTTTTTTTTTTCATTTTTTTTTGGTGAAAACGTGTTTGTTCATTTGATGATTATTGTTAGGGTTTCATTTGATTTATGTTAGAATTTTTTCTTAAAATTCACGAAATTTGTTTTACTTTCTCTTGGAAAAGAGATTTTATCAGGTTTTTAATTTTTTTATTTATTAAAAATTGAAAATTTGAATATTTTAGTGAGATTTTATGTTTATTTGCTAAATTTTGATGGGATGTTTTTATTCGATCGAGGCATTTGAGTAAATTTGATTGATGTTTTTTCATTAGTAACTGGTGAGAATTCTTTTTCCATAAAATTTATGATATTTGTTTGAGTTTCTCCTATATTAGTGATTCATATTATGTTTTTGTTTTTTATTTTGATGATCTCATTATATACTTGTCGCTCAATTGCAGTATTATTGCTTAAGTTTTAATGAGTGTTTTGTTGTTTACAGATGATATAGTGAGTAAGTGAAGCAATGGATAGTAGTGATAAAGAAGAATACAAACCTTCAGCGGAATATGAGCAAGAGTTCCGAGACCCGCTTCTTGATATCAAATTGACGGATTCTACTGAGCTTTGGCTCATTCAATGGCCTTATAAGCAAGTAAGTTTCTTTTTCTTTTCCCTTTATAAATTTTATTTTATTTTTAATGAGGGCTTACTTAAGGCTTTGTTACGATTATGAAAATTGTATTGGTGTAAGAACAAGTTACGGGCTGAAAAAGGTTTAAATCAAACTTGAAGGGTTGACCTTAGTTGTCAGGCTTGTGGTTTGATTCTTTAGGACACCTAATTTGCAGGAAGTCAATACTTTCGTTGCTTCCGAAAGATTGTGGGATTGGTTTGGGGTGAGCTTTGCGGGTTTGAGAGATTTCTGTTTTGGGGTTATCAAAGAATAAATAAGTTATAAATTGAACTATGGGATGGGATGGGATCGTGATTGCGATTGCGATTGCGATTGCGATTGCGATTGCGATTGCTTTTACTTTTGATCAATTGAGAAAAAAAATTGTGCTCCCTACTACTGATTATCAATAATCTTTCCACCAAAGGAAATTCTCATTGATTTATCCCAATGAAATTTGAATAGTTGGATGAGGTGGTTTGACTGAAGTCATTTATGACCAGCTAAACTGTTGCTGTTATTCATTACGAATTTCAACTCAAGGGTTAATTGAACTTATTGGTTTTTTTTATTTTATATGTATTCTCAGAATCCTGATATTCATGGGAAAGAATTGTCACTTGAGCTGCATGGCAATGGACGGTTGGGCAGTTTTGAGGATTCATCTGGTATTTTTGTAACAAAAACTTATTTATGTTTTCATGAAGAACTCTGATCTTAATGCTTTTGTGTATGCATTCTGTTATTCAAAGCAGCTGCAGTTTACAGGCTTCTGTGGATTCGCTTTCTTGCAATAGTGTGAATAACTGTTAATTTTTGTGGTAGGAAAAATGTATGATGTACTCAGTTTTGATTCACAAGAGCCAGATGCAACAGTTTTTCTATCCTCTACATCAGAGCCAAAAATTGGTATGGATTCAAATGATTTTGCTTTCTTTTTTGTTCTTCTTAATATATATTTTTACTTCCTTACATATGTGTCATTCATGGTTTCTAATCTGTTCTACTCTAAAGCAAGCATCATCTTCTTGTGTCACAATTGTATACTTTTCTGTGGCGTAACATAAAAAACATTTACATGTATTTTGACATGCATTTGTGGCATAACATTTATGATCATCCATTTGTGCAAGAAAATGGTCTTTGAGAGATTTGTTTTGAAAGTGAAGAAAGTTCTCTAATGTTGAGGCAAATATGTCTGCAGGCATCTTTTACACGTCTTAGACCAGTTTAGTGGAAAGCAATTTACATATTTACGTATAGTTACTTTCTGAGGAAATAGTTTTTTCTGATCCTTGTTTGACACAACCATGCTGGTACGTCTGATTAATTCAACCTAGCAAATAAAAGACAAAAGAGTTTTTTATTTTAGAAAAATAGGAGTCATATCTCTTGAAGCTAGGATCAAACTTATCTAGCATCAGGTTGTTTTGATTTATTTTCTTTTCATGCTTTGATTTTTTCTATAACTGAGAATTTGAAGATCCCCATTTCTGCTATATATGTTGACAAAACTGAACCAATAGTATCATTGATTATCAAATCTGTATATTTGGTGATGAGATGCATATTTTAAATTTATTTAAAACTTTCTACATGCTATTGTAACCCTTTTTCAGATCTTTTTTAAATGGTGTATTTATATAGTCAGAGGTCTAATATTTAAGTCCGTGATATTTTATTTTGATGCTTACATGTTGCATATGTGATCAAAATTTGAATGAAATCCTCACAATGGTGGCTGAACTATGTGAATCCACTTCTGTGTTGTGCATGTGTTTACTATTTTATCTGATGACATAGATTACTTTGTTGGTAGTGGGAAAGATTTCACGGCGAGTTTCCCTTGTCCATTACCCGGAGCCTAAAGAACTTGAAGAACTTAATCCCAAAAATATGAGACAATTCTATTCTACATCCAGTGGAAATTCAATGCCAAACTCTTCCCATCGTTTCTCAAGTCCTGTGCAAAGTAGTCAGCGGAGAAACTCACAATCAACAAAGTCACATTCAACCTACACCCACAGTAGCAAACAAAAAAGTTCTTTGTCTGAAGCTGGGGAGCCATCAAAGACACCAAAAAGAAGACGTACTCATGAATCCAATCGGTCTACAGACCGTTCTACTCTAGACTCAGGAGGGCGTCACAGTGGAATGACATTTTCAGGGTCCTCTGAGCGCTCTCATCAAGGGAAATCAAAGAAGAAATTAAAAGCTGAGGATTAAGGTTGTTTCCTTTATAGGTTCCTTCTATCACTTTTTGCTTCTTGCCAATATGCAATATAATTTACCATGAATTAGTTTATGTTACTCTAATTGGTTTTAGCTTGCGGTTTGAAGTAATAGTAGCGGTGAAATGTTGTTGTCATTCAAGCTAGATGTTAGTAAATTTTTCTCGTTCAATCTGATTATTAAATTATTTCAAGTTATGTCTTTGGTCATTCACATTATATGAGAAAAATGTAAAAGCTTAAATGTTTTTTGGTTATCGTATTTTATACGTTTATGATGAATTGATTCATCTGCCAGTTTGAACTTCATCATGAGTACAATTTTTGTTTTTGTCCTTGATCCGTCTTTGTGTGCTACTTTTTCAGTTTATTTTTTATTTTTTTAAGATTTTATTAATAATCTGTGTGCAATAAGCCAATGCTTTGGGTTATATACTGTTGAGAACCTAGATCCTCAACGCAAACAACCCACTCACTGTAACTCAACACTCAAGCAACAATGTTCAAATCAAGCAGAAAACGAAGAATGAATTTGACTGTGAAAATGATATGGTATTGATTGGATGGTTGAAATGGAAATTACAATATAGAATGATGTAAAAACACCAGATCCGAAAATAAAAGATAGTATAGCTCTTCGAGGGGCTAGTTCCTCCCAATTTTCTACTCAAAAGTTTAACATCCTTTTACAATTGAAATCCCACAATTTATATTCCTCAACGTCACACCCAAAGCATGATTCCTGCCACGTGGATAACTAACTCCTTTTTGTGCGCACCCGCTGATTTGCCTTCGTGTCCCTTTTGTAAACGTGAGTAATGGGTGGGGTTGTATCAATACCCCTCCCTAAAAGACTCACCTTGTCCTCAAGGTGAAAGTGTGGAAACTACCGATCAATAATGTCAAAGGATTCCCAGGTGGCCTCATGAGAAGGTAAATCCTTCCAGTGGACTAAGACCTCTCTAGAGCCATCTAACAAGGTGCGGACAGAGTGTACTGACGCAGGTTGGACCATCAGTTCTAAGTCATCAGTAAGGCATTCAGGCAAGGGCTGAACCGGGACAGAAGTATAGAGGCTCTGTTTCAGTTGAGAAACGTGGAAGACTGGGTGAATTTGGGAAGTGTCAGGTAAGGCTAGGCGATATGCGACAGCACCAATTTTTTCCAGGATTCGGAAGGGACCGTAAAAGCGAGGACTGAGTTTTTCATTGAGTTTGAGGGCCAAGGATCGAAATTTATAAGGTTGGAGTTTTAAGTAAACAAAATCACCTGGTTCAAAGGACACATCCCGGCAGTGAGAATTGGCTTGTGTGCGCATTCGATCTTGAGCTACGGTGAGATGGGCTTTCAATTCATCCAACAATGCATTTCGGTCGACCATTTGTTGATTAACCGCCTCCACCGACGAGTGGACCTCTGTAAATTTCATGAGTGTGGGAGGGGGGCGACCATAAAGAGCTTGAAACGGGGACATTTTGGTAGAGCTGTGATAGGATGTGTTAAACCAAAATTCAGCCCAATGAATCCATTTCGGCCACTGCTTGGGTTTGTGACTTGTAAAACAGCGGAGATATGTCTCAATGCAGCGATTAACCACTTCCGTTTGACCATCCGTTTGGGGGTGGTATGCTGAGCTGAATTTGAGAATAGTACCTGCCATTCGAAACAATTCTGTCCAAAATTTACTTAGGAATAGACGGTCCCGGTCAGAAACAATAGACTTAGGAAACCCATGTAAGCGGACCACTTCCTGCACAAACAGAGCAGCCACTTCGGTTGCCGTATATGGATGACATAAGAGCATAAAGTGACTGTATTTTGTCAACCTATCCACGACGACCAGGATGGTGTCGAACCCGAAGCTCTTAGGGAGGCCGCCAATGAAGTCCATGGAAAGGTCTTCGAAGGCCAAATCTGGAATTGGTAAGGGCTGTAACAGCCCGACAGGTTTTAAGGAAAGATGTTTGTTCTGCTGACACACCCCACATGCATTGACAAACTCTTTGACATCTTGTTTGAGTCCCTCCCAAAAAATAACCCCAACCAACCTTTTATATGTGCGAAAGAACCCAGAATGGCCGCCACTGGGTGTGCTGTGGAATTCCTCCAGTATTTGAGGAATGAATTTAGATGTTTTGGGCAGGACCAATCGGCCTTTATACAAGAGGCAGCCACGGTGTAAGATATAATGAGCACGGGAAGTCGGCTGGGCCATGAGGTCTTGTATAATCCGCTTGAGTTTATCTTCTTGAAAAGCTTCAGTGGCCAATTCTTCATACCCCGGAAATATAACTGTGGATAAAGCAAACAGTTCAGGACCAGGTTCACGTCAGGAGAGAGCATCAGCGACTTTGTTAGAACTGCCCGGATTGTACTGAATCTCAAACTTGTACCCCAAAAGTTTAGAAATCCATTTATGTTGTTCCGGAGTGATTGGCCTTTGTCCTGTCAAAAACTGCAAACTTCGTTGGTCCGTCTTAACGATGAATTTGTTGCCGATCAGATAATGGCTCCATTTATGCACTGCGAACACAATGGCCATGAGCTCCCTCTCGTAAACTGATTTCTGTCGGGCCGAGGGGGAAAAAGCTTTACTTAGAAAGGCAATAGGACGGCCATGTTGCACCAAAACAGCTCCCATACCTAGGCCTGAAGCGTCCGTCTGTATTTCAAAAGGCTCAGTAAAATTTGGTGTAGCTAACACGGGAACCGACACCATGGCTTGCTGTAAGCACTCGAAAGCCCGCTGTGCTTCAGGGTTCCACTTGAAGGAGTCTTTCTTTAGCAATTGTGTTAATGGTTGTGCAATCTGACCATAATTCTTAACAAATTTTCTGTAGTACCCGGTAAGCCCCAGTAAGCCACGTAAACTCTTCACTGTCTTAGGGGTAGGCCAAGACAACATGCAATCAATTTTTACAGGGTCGGCTTCGACTCCATTCTGAGATATGATGTGCCCCAAATATTCCAATTTAGTTTGAGCGAACTGGCATTTTTTTTTTTTTTTTGTTGACTACTAGCTAGTGTTGTTGTAGCTGTTCAAAGACCTGGCGCAAATGCAATAGATGAACAGAGAGATTAGAGCTGTAAATTAAGATATCATCAAAAAATACCAGGACAAATTTGCGGAGAAATGGCCTGAAAATGTCGTTCATCAGGGCTTGGAAGGTCGATGGTGCGTTAGTCAACCCGAAAGGCATCACTAAGAATTCGTAATGCCCTTCGTGTGTGCGGAAAGCCGTTTTCGGAACATCTTCTTCACGAACCCGAATCTGATGATACCCAGATTTGAGGTCCAATTTAGAGAATATGACGGCATTTCCCAACTCATCCAGGAGCTCATCAATGGCGGGAATTGGAAACTTATCGGGTATGGTGATGTCATTCACTGCCCGATAATCCACACAGAAACGCCAACTGCCGTCCTTCTTCCGGACTAACAACACCGGGCTGGAGAAGGGGCTAATACTTGGTTGAATAATGCCGGCTGCCAACATTTCCCCAACCAACCTCTCAATCTCATTTTTTTGTGTATATGAATAACGATAGGGTCTGATATTCGATATGGATACTCCCTCCTTCAAGGTGATTGCATGGTCCTGCTGCCTAAGTGGAGGCAGACTTGTAGGCTGCTCGAAGATGGGCGCGAATTCAGTTAAGAGAGTGTCTACATGGGGATTCATGACCTTGACCTCCTTGGCTTCTTGCTGCACAATGGAGCAAAATTCTACCATAAACCCATGGTCCTCGTGGTGTAAGGACTTCAGCATAGCTTTCAATGACACCACTATTTTCACCAACGACGGGTCACCCCTAAGTACCATTGGTTTCCCATCCACTTCAAATTTCATGGTAAGACACTTCCAATTTGCGCAAACATCGCCCAAAGTACTTAACAAGGTAATCCCGAGTATAATGTCAGCCCCTCCCAAATCAAAAGGAAAAAAATCCTGCACAACCGTGAGTCCCGGCATGGCTAACTCCAACCCCTTACAAACCCCTGTACTTCGCACGGTATACCCATTTCCAACCATAACACCAAACGCCCTTGTTTCCTGCACCTTTAAACCCAACTGTCGTACTAGATCTTGGGAGATGAAGTTGTGCGAAGCTCCGCTGTCTACCATCACAATAACTTCTGATCCCTGCAGTTCACCCCGAAGCTTCAGAGTGGTGGTTGACGTCAAGCCGACAATGGAGTGCATGGATAGAGCTACCAGATCTGCTTCTGCGATGTCTTCTACCTCGGTTGTCTCCATTTTTTCAGATTCACTTAGCTCCTCCTCGACATCCGCGACCAACAAAATCTGAAGAGTGCGATTTTTGCACTTGTGAGCTGGCCCAAACTTCTCATCACACTTGTAACAAAGTCCTCTCTCCCTCTTGTACTGTAGTTCGGCGTCGGTGAGTCGTCGAAAACTAGTGTCGCGAGTTGTGGGTGGCGTTGACGCAAGAGACTTTTCTTCCCTTACAGCTCGCGTTTGAAAAGAAGAAGAAGAAGAAGAAGAAGAACGATCTGGGGGTTTGATCGTATTGGGTATCCACCCAATTTTTAACGGTTCTGGGCCAGGTGTAACCCGGTTGTAAGTGTCTCGCCTATTGGTCCATTGGGTGCAGCCCATCTTCCATTTGTTTTTTTCTAAAACCCAGTTTCTCTCCTCAATTCTATGGGCTTGGTCCATGAGCTCAAACAGATTATTGGGCCTGACCATTCTCAACTCAGCCTTTATCTCCTCTTTCAGCCCACTGGTGAATGTGCCCATAAGCAGCTCTTCTTCAACCTCTTGCATGGGTGCAGCTAGCAGTTCAAACTGCTCACGGTAATCTGTCACGGTGGTGGTATGTTTCAGCGTGACCAAAGATTCAAACACGGAGCCTTTGTAAGACGGTCTGAATCGATCGATCACCGCTTTTTTGAAAGCTCGCCAATCCGTAAATGGCACTCGTGAATCTACCCATTGAAACCAGTTCAACGCCCGTCCCTCCATGCACACTGCGGCGGCTTCCAACTTCTCCTCCTCCGCAAACTTATTCACCTGAAAGTACCTGTCGGCTCGGAACAGCCATCCATGGGGATCCTCACCGTAAAAAACTGGTAACTCTAACTTCCTCACCTTCCTATCTTCCCCTCCACTCTCGTTGGATTTGGATTGGTTTTGGTTTCGATCATCGTTACTGCCCTGGATCTCTGACGATTCAACCTTATCCTTCCCTCGGTTCACACTCCCATCCCTCTCCTCCTTCAATTTAATCCATTCCCTCAACTCCAGCAAGTACTCCTTGATGTTGCCGACATCCTCCCTAACNTATGTTACCCTAATTGGTTTTAGCTTGCGGTTTGAAGTAATAGTAGCGGTGAAATGTTCTTGTCATTCAAGCTAGATGTTAGTAAATTTTTCTCGTTCAATCTGATTATTAAATTATTTCAAGTTATGTCTTTGATCATTCCCATTATATGAGAAAAATGTAAAAGCTTAAATGTTTTTTGGTTATCATATTTTATACGTTTATGATGAATTGATTCATCTGCCAGTTTGAACTTCATCATGAGTACAGTTTTTGTTTTTGTTCTTGATCTGTCTTTGTGTGCTACTTTTTCAGTTTTTTTTTTTTTTTTTTTTAGATTTTATTAATAATCTGTGTGCAATAAGCTGATGCTTTGGGTTATATACACATTGAAGGTGACATTGTCCTGTACATAGAAATCAAAATAAATATGGGTCTGCATGTTGCATCCTGATGACACCTTCCCTCTTTTGAGGCATTGATTTTGGGGCCTGATTATGAGTTAGGATGAGGATCTGTCCTTATATTAGCTTTGCTGGACCTTCATAGGATCTTAGAAGTGGCACTAACAAATTCTGGTCATAATTTGATTGTTATTATTAATTTTTTTCCATTCAAAACCAAAACGAAACCGATTTATACCCTCAAGCTGAAAGGGATGCCTTCTTGTGCTCCAAATATTCAGCTTTAGCATTTACTCTTCTCCGATTATCTTCTCTATAATTCCAGCAACAAGAAACCCAAGAAAGAACTTTATACCAATTATCGTAGTTATGGAAAGGGCTGAATTTTATTTTTTGAATCAGGGTCAACTTTTTTTATTACTATTCCCAATAAAGTTAGATTGTTTTACTAATTTTTTCCAAAGGCAATTCTTTCTCTGTTTCTCTTTAATATATCAATTTTTTGGTTGCCTTTCTTCTGGTTTTGGAGATTCGTAGCTTTTGTGATTCTTATGGTTTACTGGTCAGGTGTTGCAAAGTTTAGGCTAAATTCTAAGTTGGGATTTTAAGCTTTTTTCTATTTATTTATTTATATATTATTTTTTAAAAATCCTAAACTCATAATTTGTTGGTGCTCACTCATCTTAAGATCTTACAAAGGTCTGGTTAAGTTAAGATCCGGAGAGGATCCTGATCCTATGACCTACAGATTAACTGTTGTAGTCTGTAGAAAGTTCTGAACGGTTTTTGGAAGTTTAGATGTCACCATAATGTTGTGTGTACTATAAGCTGATGTTCTGGAATAAAATTGAGATGAAGGTAGCATGGTTATGTGCACAGAAATTAATTTTCAGTTTGGTCTACATATCTGCTCTTGATGATTTCTGATTTGAGGGTCTGGTTATGACCTACATATTCATTATTTCTTAGCTGAAGAGTTTTGTCTTGGAAGCAAACAATTCTTCATGCATCCTTTGCATGTACTACCACAGATGCGAATGACGTGGCACATCCTTATTGGGTGGTTGTATGTGCATAGGATTCATGGAATAATTATTCCTTGAAAGCATGTTTGTTATTTGGTTTTCATTTGTTCAAAGTTTTAATATAGTTAGCAACAGAATTTGAAAATCTTTTAGTATGATAGATAATATATGTCTGTCAAACCACGATACACCGTGTTAGCATCGGTGATGTGCACATGCATAAGGATTGAGGGGTTGATGGTGTGAACATGTATCTGTCCTACTGAAGACTCTCTCAATATGATATGATTGATTCTTATAGGATTATTTTGATATGTCGAGATGGCTTTAAATACCAGTTTGGTTGAGTTATTTATTGGTTAGAAGAGTTATTTCTGGTATTGACTTACATATTTTCATTATTTCTTAGTTGAAGAGTTTTATCTTGAAGAGACAATTTTCCATGCATCTGCACGTACAACCACCTGATAAAGAGCGTGTGTCTACCACGCATTGATGTGACATCCCCATTGGATGGTTTATGTGCATTGAATGTATGGAAGAATTCTTCCTTGAAAACATGTTTGTTATCTGGTTGATATGTTAAATTTTAAATAGTCATAATATTTTTTAGTGGGATGGATTTATGAACCTGTCTAACCACGGTGCACGACGTTAGTTTGGGTGTTGTGCATGTGCGGTAGAATGTTAAATTTTCGATTTTTTGTCGTTTGATTATACGGAAGAAGATCTACGAATTAATTATTTCGATAAACACCACTGTACACCACATCAGCATACATGGTGTGCATGTGTTCAGGATTAAGAGAGAACGTGTTTGTCCTACCGAAACTTGATATAATTCTTCTTATAGGTTTGCAACTTTGAATTGTTTTAACTCTTCATGTGTTCCAAGGGTGACTTATTTTTGGTTAAAAAGCTGGTGGATATTTTATCATTTTATTAACTGAAGAATAGCTTATGACTATACTATCTTACTATGAGTTGAGACTTGAATAATTTATTATCTTTATAATAAATACTTTTGATTTTTTATACTACATTAAGAGTTTACTGTTTTTTTCTATAATGAACTCTTTGAGTTTCTATTTGAAGTTTTTCCATTAATTTTTTTTCATGATGTAAAAAACTTTAAGTACTGATAATTTTTTTTTTTTTTTTTTAAAAAAAAAGGGCTGGGGTTTTAATAGTTCTTTTGTAATTAATTTTTATTTGATGAAATCTACCAAACTGATCTAATTCCAATTGAAGTTAAAAATATAATAAAAAAAATTCATTGTCATTAATGGTCTGTGAGTTATTAAATACATTCTATACAGTTAGCAATATTATCAAAATCTTAGAGAGGTTTATGTTATTTGCACAAGAGATTAATGCTTAATTTAATCTTTCTAATTTATGATTTTGTCATGAAATAAATCTAGAGTTTAATATTATCTTTTAAGATCGTTAATATGATCAGAATGAGACATACTCATTATATTGATTTAATCTTACCCTTATTTGTATATCTACTTAAATTAAATGAAAAATTATTAAATCTTAATATTTATGCATTTTTTTATTCCTTTATAAAGTATTTTTATGATTATCTATATTTTCTTTAAAAAAATCATTTAAATTAAAGTTGTTAATTTAATTTTTTAAAATAAAAAAATGTTAAATTTTAATGTAATTATTTTCTTAATAAAAATACTTAAACTTGAAATATTTTAAACTTTAAGTAAACCCAAGAATTACAATTACATGCCAGTTTGGTTGCTAGTTCATTTTTGTTTGGGCTTGAGCCAGCATGGCCCATTCATGCAGCTTGTATTGGGCTGTTTGGGCCTTAATTTTGAGCCCATTTTCAAATCAATTCTGATATTTCTTTATGTTCATAGAATTATTATAAGTTTAAACAAATTATTGGACCAACAACAAAATATCAGATTTGTTATGTTACGGTCCGACAATACAAAAATACTTATAGGGGGCGTTTGGTTCAGGAATGTTAGATTACTGGGAATATTGAATTACTAGAAAGATAGATTACCTTGAAAGATACTGGGAATCTTTAGAAAAATATGTTTGGTTAGTTGGTGGGTATGTTACATTAATGTTTGGTTATGGGGAATAAATTGGTGGGTACGCTATTTAAATTACTAAATTGTCCCCCTTTAAATATTAATATAAATTATTTTTTTATATAATTTTTGAATAATTCTTTTAACCCCCATATTTTAGATTTAGCTACAATACCCCCGCTTATATAAAACTTAATTTTAACGAAATCACCCCCACCTCCTGCCACCACCAGCGAACCACGCCGGATGTGCCGTGAGTACGTCACCGTGACCAAGAGGCTCCGCTATGGCTGTTTTTGGCCATATTGATGGCCGAAAACAGAATAGACTGCCGTTAACGGCCAGATCTGACCCTTATGGCCGTTTTCGGCCATCAATATGGCCAAAAACGGCCATAGCGAAGCCTCCCGGAGCCTCCCACAGAATTTCCAGTATTTTTAGGCTGACGGTATTTTCCGGCGGTGGTCCGTGGTGGTTGACCCCTGTCGGCGGGGGGTGGCTGGTGGCTGTGGTGGGTGGGGCTTGTTGGCAGGGTGGTCTGTACTATTTTAAATATAAGGGCATTATTGTCCAAAATTTTAATTAAACAAGGGTAAAATTGAAATAGGATATTAATGTAAATTTGTTTTAAAGTAGGGGTATTATTGTCCAAAATTTTTATTAATAAGGGATAAAATTGTAATAAAAAAAGATAACCCTGATAATCTCAGAAAACCTAAGAAAATGGAGGTAATCAGATTACCTCTTATATTACCAATAGTAACCACTATTGGTATTTGAAGATTACTGGTATCTTATATTATTTGACAACCAAACATAATAATCAAGTAATATAAGATGACATTACCTCAATAATACCACTTAACCCCGAACCAAACGGCCCATATTGATATCTGTGTTACTGGTCCACGATTCCGTTGTAAATGTGAAAGGGTGTTTTGTCGTTGGGTGGAGGTAGCCACATGTTAAAAGGGTGGCATCCACCAATTAAAAGACAAAACCACTCACACCCATTGTTTTTTTCCTAAATCCGACCGGCCCAGTTTGGCATAAATAATCTCTGTCACGTGACCTTTCATTATTATAATTAATTAATTATATTGGGGTAAATAACTTTGATCCATTAAATTTAGAAAGTAATACTTGTTTATATCCTCTTCATTCTTTAAAATCTTATCATATCCCAACAACGGTGAAATAGGATGATTTAAAGCTGTATTTTGCAAATATGTAATTATCTTGAATTATTAAATATCTTGTTCTCTTATAAATAAAATTTATATGAAGTGAATCTTTTTGAACGTAAAAGAAGTTATGTTAGTTTATAAGAGAATAAAAAAACGAATATATCTTGTCGGATTCTTAAGAAATTCTTAGATGTATGTTTATTTACCTTTCAAATTCTATGAATAACCAAGAAATGGAGAAATATCCCCCAAAGACATTTAGGAAACCGGTCTGATTAACTTCTATTAGTTAGCATTTGTTGACTCTAATTAAAGAAAAGTGAGATCAAAGTGTTTATTGAGAATAATAAAGTATTACTTTCTGATTTTAATCAATCAAATTTCAAGGATCTAAAAGTAATTTTATACTATCTCATTAATAATAATAGTTACTTTTATTAAACATTCTGAAAAATTCAATTCTCTCTCTCACTTAAAAATGGTTTGACTTTCTTTTTTTTTTTTTTTTTAAATCTTAAAATAAAATATTTAAAAACTAAGCTATGATTTCAAAATGTGAGATGTACTTTAAATTTTTAAAATTTGAAAATGTGGTTAGTAAAATTAAATTCTTTTTTTCTTAGTTCAAGACTATAAAATTTTGAAATTATTATTATTATTTTTTAATTTTTTATCGTGATCTTGCACAAGTTTGTATTCAAAAATTACTTTTGAAAACATTTCTAGCAAATATAGTTTTGTAGAATTCACTGTAATTTCCTGTTTTCTTAAAAGAAAATATTGTGGTTAAGTTCTAAATCGAACAAGTAAAAAGTTTTCACATAAAATGATTATTTAATATGATGATTGAGTATCTCCTATTTTACATCAATTTTCCATAAGAGTTCTAAATTTTTTTTTTTTTTTTTTTTTAATCATTTTAACCCATAGGGGTTAGCCAGGTGATCAGATCTGTAATTTGCTCTCATAAGATTTGAAGTTTGAGCGCCCCTTAATATATTTCGAACTTAGGTCTGTAAAGCCATATTAAGCTTAGGTTAACGGGACTCAATTTTGAGGTCGGTTCTCAAAATGTAAAATAAAAAAATTTGTAGATTAAAGAGAAAAATATCGTCATATACCAAATCACATCTAATTCAAGATGGTCATATTTATTAGGTTGATACAGGCTAAATTAATTAAACAATACATTTCACGAAATTTCTTAGGGTCGTTTGGATCGGTGGTATATAAGATAACAGGGATAATCTTCATTTATTTTACAAGATTCTTGTATTTGGTTTGCAAGTAATAAAATATTACAGTAATCTTTTATTGCAAATAAGGGCCGTTTGAATCAGTTTAATATTAGATAACTAGGGTAATATTTTTTAAATTGAGCAGATTACGATGTTTGGTTGGTTTGTTAAAAATTATTCCTGGAATATTTTATGACAAACAGTAGCATTTGGTTGGTAATCTTTTGTCCTCGCTTTTTAAATTTTTTGGACGACATTACCCTTGTTATTATCATTATTCACAGAAATGTCTTTATACCCAGAACTAGCCACCATCGGCAGCCACCAGAGGTTGCCAAAAGTCGTCATAATGGCATACGATTGACTATATATGGCCAAGCATGTGGCCGTGAAACGGTGACTGATCTGGCCATGAAACAACTAGGTCTTTGGCCGTGAAACGGCCGCCATTTCATGGCCAGATCTGTGGCACTGCCAGCGTCACGGCTAGATTTGTGGCACTGCCAGCAGCCGTCAACAGTGGTGACTAGCTGCCGGCAGTGGCTTGGGATGGGTAGGGGTGTTTTTGTTAAGTTTAAAATGTTTTTGGTTGCTATGGTGTTTTTGCTAAATCTGAAAAGTATGGGGTTAAAAGAAATTGTTCAAAAAATAATAAAAAAAAATATTGTTAAATTAAATTTAAAAAAGGAGGGCAATTTAGTAATCTATATAACATACCCACTCATTTATCATTTCAACCAAACATATTATTCACCAATATATTCGAACTAACCAAATACATTTTCTAAACATTCCCAGTAATCTTCAAGGTGATCTTTTATTCCGTTAATATAATATTCCCATATAATAAAATATTATATGATCTAAACGCCCCCATAGTATTTACTTTTGGTAATGTGGGGAGTAATTTATTACCTTGTTATTAAAACATTACCGGGGTAATCTGATTTTACTATTCATTTTACCTTTAATTAAAAACAATTTCGGACACAATTGCTTTCAAATGTCAATTAAATAACAATTACCCAACCCCCCTACATTTGAGAAATTAGCTAAAACACCCAAGTCACAAATTTTTTTTTTTTAAATTAACAAAATGTCCCCAGCCACCTAAGACCACCGTCGACCGTGACTCACCATCGCCAGTGTCAGTCATCGTAATGGTGCATAAACAGCAGGATCTGGCTGGTCATGCATCGGTAAGGCATTTTTCGGTGATCCATGGCCAAAAACGTCTAGATCTAGTGTTTCTATGACCGTTTCATGACCACATCTTTGGCCTTGAAATGACCATGTATCTGGCCATTTTCTGGCCATGAATTTGTGATCCATGGCCATTTCTGACTTTACCGGTGCACGACAGACCATATACAGCTAATTGTGTGCCATTCCGTCGACTGCTGACAGCGGCTGGCGATGGTGGCTGTCTGTCGACAGTGGCTTGGGGTGGGTGAGGGTAATTTTACTACAAATTAAAGTTTTATATGGTTTGGGTGTTTTAGCAAAATTTTAAATGTAGGGGTTAAAAGAAATGATTAAAAAAATAATAATAAAAAATACTATTATTTTAATATTTAAAAAGGAGGACAATTTAGTAATCTATATATCATACCCACTCATTTATCCTCCCAACCAAACATATTATTCACCAATTTATTCGAATTAACCAAACACATTTTTTAAATATTCCCAATAATCTTCAAGTTGATCTTTATTTCTGTTAATATAATATACCCTTATAATAAAATATTATATGATCCAAACAACCTCTAGAAAGTAAAAAGTTTATTTAATTTAATGGAAAAGTAGCCAACATTAGGATTCCAGGGACCAGCTACTATTTCCAGAAATTTCTGGACCATGAATGTATTAATTAATTGACTTTTTAAAAAAGAGGTTTTTCTTAAGTTTTAAAATTAATCATATTTATTCATGCTTTAACTTAATCTAAAAATATATTCTAAAATTATCAAAAAAAATTATCTAAAAAGTCACACATTAATAACTAAAATTCTCTCTTTATTTACACTTTTACTAAACATTATCTTATTTTATTTAAAAATTATCAATTCTTAAATTTGTAAATTATAACAATAGCATCATATTAAGGTACTTAAACAGTAACGTTGCGCTCATATGTATCATTTACTAAATTTATTATATGGAAACATAATTCTATATATATTTAATATATGAGTTAATGTTGCAAATTATAAACATAACATCAAAAGTAATTTTGGTAAATAAATTGACTCCATAACACTTCTCTAATATTATAATTAGTTGGGATATTATAATAAATATAATCTTATGCGTAATACATAATAAGACATTATACTTTATATTCTTCAAAATATAATGTAACGTTGGATTGTTGTCCTAAATATAATCTTATGTGTAATATATAATAAAACATTATGTTTATATTTAATTAATATATAAGTTTACGTTAGAATATTATACTAAATATAATCGTATGCGTAATACAATAAAACTTCTCTATAGTAATACTCTATATATGAATAAATTTTACATAGTCATAAAAAATTATATTCCTAATTTAGGATAGTTATAAATAAGAATAAACTCTATATTGTAATAAATTATAATTTTTTTAATTCCCGTCTTAAAAAAAGTTGCCTCCACATAGTAATAATTATCTGTACATTACAAAAAAAATAAAAATTTTATGTTATATTAAAGGTTTAAGATGAAATAAAATATTTATCTAAAGTTGTTTGAGATAATAAATTATACTTCAGAGTTGTTACTACGACTTTTAATTTGCAGATAAATTACTCGCTAGCATGAATATCTTCTTGTTGAAACCAAGGATCCGTTTGGTTCACTCTTGGGAATACTATTATTAGTATTCCCAATAAAGTTAAACAGTAAAATGACTTATTCTCAAAATATGATTCTATATTATTTAATTTTTTAAACCCCCTAAATTTCTTAATTTAACTAAATACCCCCAAATATTTTTTTAGAAATTACAAAAATACCCCAACAACCCACATTTACTAGATTCCGGCCACCACTGCCGGAAGCTGGCCGGAATCTGGTATAATGGCGCACTATCGGCTGAATCTAGCCGGTAGGATTTAGCCGGTAGTGCACCGATCTAACCTTTTTCGGCCAGATTCACAGTGAATCTGGTCGGAAAAGGCCAGATCTTTGACCGTAGCCAGTCGTCAACAACGGCCAAGATACAATCGTCATTAACCATAAACGACGGTCGTATCTTTGGCCATCGCTGACGACCAAATGCGGTCAGATCTAGTCGTCCATTGCCAGATCTAGCCATAGATCTGGCCTTTTTCGACCAGTTCTAACCGTATATCTGACCTTTTTCGGCCAGATCCATGGAAAAGACCATATCGACGTACGACCGGCAAGATCTAGTCGGTTATGCACCTATACGGCGACTTCGGCCATCCTTCGGCGGTGGTGGCCGACTGTCTGTATTTAATGGGTCGGTTGGGGGTGTTTTTTGTCAACTTTTAATATTTTATTATAGGGGTGTTTAGTAAATAAACAAACATAGGGGGCATTTTTGTTAATTTCTAAATCCTACATCGTAATATCCGCCCAATTTAACTTTTTTCAAAATATTATTCTAAAAACTATCATAATAATGAACCAAAACGGACCCCAAATATTTATAGTTTCTCAAGTATGTTTAGAGCTTTTTGGCACAAAACTTTTTATATTTCCGTATGATCATCCTCATGATTATTTCCTTTATCTTTTTGTCTAATTGTAGCAATGATTTCTTTTTTAGTTAAAACATACATCACTTATTACTCATTTGGATGATTGAGAAAGACATTAATATTTATTCGATTAGTATAATGAAGTTGTCGAATTTGATCACTAAATTCTACAATGACTCTTTGATTCTTCTCATCCAGTTCATTTGTAACTTGCAATTCATCAACATCAGGGATCCTAATTTGGTAATGTTAAAACAATTAGCAATAGTATGTGGCTTCACATTAATTTGCTGCATAATTTTGTAATGATTAAAACAATTGGCAATAGTATGTGGCTTCATATTAATTTGCTACATAATTTTGTAATGATTAAAACAATTTGCAATAGTTTGCGGCTTCACATCAATTTGATCATGTAGCAACTACATTTACAATTCCATCAAGGACACTTATCTTTGCTGGTTTCAAGACATGATCTTCTATCTGTTTAAAAAATAGGCAATTGAAGCACTGAATTGAAATCCTAATAGTATTAAAACATCAATTGAAATCCTAATACTGTACTACTAAAACATGAATTATAAATAAATTTTTATTATCACACCTCTATTAAGTTATAACCTCCTTATAGTAATAAAATTAATTAATCTCACCTTCTGACTATAGAGAGGTTTTACTGTATATAATAAAACATTATATTTGTATTATTTAATATAGACAACATAACGATTGGGATATTATAAAAGGTTAATACCTCCCTAAAATTAATGATCATTAATCAAATTTTAGAGAAAAAAAAAAAAAAAAAAACTATGGTGGATTAAGTCTGTCCTCCAATGTAATAAAGCCAATAATATAAACATAATGTTTTTTTTTTTTGTTTTTGTTTTTTTCCACATCACGCATAAGCTTATGTTTTGTGTAACTTTCATAGATATGATTTGCATGAAAATGATCTATGCTGTATATAAAATAATATGGATAATAGGTGATGACATATAATTTGATTTATAATAAGGTATTCAACTTTTGGTTTTGTTTGGTACACTATTTTTTTAACAATATTCTATTATGAATAGGATAAGATAAGATTTAATCAAATATGATGGCTTCGTTTGGTTGCCAATTGAGAATACTACTTTTAGTATTCCTAAAAAAGTTAAACAGTAAAATACCAAAAAACTCTAATTTTTGGGAATGCTACTTTCAATATTATTCAACTTTTTTTAAACCCTCTAAATTTGTTAATTTAATTAAATACCCCTAAATATTTTTTTAAAAATTACAAAAACACCCCAGCAATCCACATTTACCAGATTCCGGCCATCACCGCCGGAAAATGGCCGGAATCTGGTAGGATGGCGCACTACCAGCTGAATCTGGCCGGTAGTGTGCTGATCTAGCCTTTTCCGGCCAGATCCATGGTGGATCTGCCCGGAAAAGGCCAGATCTAAGGCCAAAGATCTAGCCGTTGACGGCCAGATCTTTGGCCATAACAGTCGGTAACGACGGCCAAAAAACAGTCGTCGTTGACCATCAACGACGACCTTTTGTTGGCTGTCGTTGACGAGCAAATATGGCCAGATCTGGCCTTTGCTGGCCAGATCCACTGTGGATCTGGCCGGAAAAGGC